GACAAATACTTAGAAATTCACAACCAACCTAAACTGACACAAACTGAAATTGAATACCAGAATAGACCCATTACAAAAGAAGAAATTGAAAAAGTAATAAAACAACTTCCAGCCCAAAAAGCCATGGACAGGATAGTTTTACAAGTGAATTTTATCAAATATTTAGAGACGAACTGTCACGAATTCTACAAAAACTATTTCAGAAAATAGAAAAAGTTGGAATTCTCCCAACTCATTCTATGAAGCAAACTTATCCTTGATACCAAAGCCAGTAAAGACAATACCAAAATAGACATCTATAGGTCAATATCTCTCAAGAACATAGATGCACAAAGCCTGAATACAATCCTAGCCAATAGAATCCAACCAAGCATAAAAAAAATAATAATTCATCATACGAAGTGGGATTCATAACAAGTACGCAAGGATGGTTCAACATAAGAAAAAAAAACTGTAATTCATGACATAAACAAAGCAAAAAATAAGAACCACATGATCCTATCAATTGATGCAAAAAAGGCCTTTGACAAAATCCGACACCCTTTCCTGATTAAAACACTCAACAAAATAGGATTAGAGGGGAATTTCTTCAACATAATAAAAAGTATATACATACCCAAACTTGAGAGCCAACATTGTTCTCAGTGGACAGAGAGTAAAGGCATTCCCTTTGAGAACAGAACTAAGAAAGGGTGTCCATTATTTCCTCTCCTATTCGGTATTGTATTTGAAGTTTTAGCAATAACAATAAGACAAGAGAAGGAAATAAGAGGTATCCAAATTGCCAAAGAGGAGGTAAAATCATCTCTCTATATACAGATGATACGATAGTATAGTTAGACTCTGAAGACTCAACAAGAAAACTATGGGATATAGTTGACCAATTCAACAAAGTTGCAGGATACAAGATGAACATACAAAAATCAAATAGATTTCTCTGCAGTGACAAAGAGAATACAGAACTGGAGCTAAGAAAAACAATACACTCCACAATAGCTAATCAAAAGATTAAATATTTGGGAGTAAATCCAACCAGAAGCACAAAGGATTTATTCAAAGAAAATTACAAAATATTACTGTAAGAAACAAAAAGAAACGTGGAGAAGCAGAAGAATATACCTTGCTCATAGATAGGAAGACTCAATATTATGAAAATGAAAGTACTACCGAAAGCAATTAACACATTCAATGTAATCGCAATACAAATAGCAATTCCATTCTTCA